AAACTTGCTGTATGGACCAGGCTGAGATCCACATGCTTCTGCCTCCCGAGTGCTGGGATTAAAGGTGTGCCCTACCACACCCGGCTGAGCAGTGGGTTTTTCTTTTAAAGTAGTGTCTCTTTAATAAGAGGAAAATGCCAGAAACTTACTAGAAGAATGGCATATGATGGCCAGAAATTAGGACAGCAAGGAACACCAGCATCTTAGAAGGAGTCCCTTTATACTTCCAGCCTTCAGAATTGTGAGACGTGCCTAGCATGCTCAAGGTCGTAGGTTCAATTGCAAGTACTGAAAGAAAAGGAAAAAACAACTGTGGGAGATTAAATGCCTGTTAGTTTAAGCCATCCAATTTGGGATGGTTTGTCATAGAAGCTCTGGTAAACACATCCAAGCTCTAAGTCCTTTCTGTACCTTCTCATAAACAATTCAGGTACAAGGAACATTGCACAGCTGATGATCATTGCTCCTTGATGTGTGCTTGTGAGTGTACACATGTGTGTGATCCACTGTTGCTCTCTGTTTGTTTGTTTGTTTGTTTGTTTGTTTGTTTGTTTTTTGAGACAGGGACTCCCTGTAGCCCCAGCTGGCCCAAATCTGGAGATATAAACCAGGCCAGCCTCAATCTCACAGAGGTCTGCCTGTTTCTGCCTCCCGAGTGCTGGGATTAAAGGCATGCACCGCCATACCTGGCATATCTACCTTATTTTTTGAGACAAGGTCTCTGTCTGAACCTAGAGCTCACCTTTTCAGCTAGACTGGCTGGCCAGCAAGCCAGGAGATGTGCCCATCCCTGTCTCCCCACCAGCATGCAGCTGCCACAAGAGTGCTGGAGATGGGAACGCAAGTACTCATGCTTGTATATGGAGCAGTCCACCCACTGAGCCATCTCCCCAGGCTCAATACTGGGCTTTTTTTTTTTCCAAACAGTCATGTAACTGGGGGCCATTTTGTGTGCCCGTTTTCAAATATCTAAAGTATACAAACTAGCCTGTTATACTGTGAATTCTGAGCTAAAAGAGAATGTAATTTGAAGAGATTGCATATTTTCCAAAGCCAATTTGGTGAGTTAAGCATGAAAGTATTACAATGAAATGTTTGAAAAGTTATCTGTGCCTGTTTTGCTGTAAGCCAATACCATGAAGCAACACATCTTTTCAGGATGAGGTTAGCAGCCTCAGCCCCCAGGGAAAGGGAGCAAAGTATCACTCCACTGCAACTACTTTGGACAACTGAACTACATAAGCAGACTCAAAAGAAAGTCATTTCCAATCATCTTTAAAATATACACTGTAGTAGCTACAACACAGTTCTCTAAGGGCAGGATGGGAGGAGATGGGAAATATTTGTGCAATGTAGTCTTCATGGGTAATGCAGAGATTATGGGCCAAAATGAGATCAACATGACTCCTAAGCCCATGTGTCAATGTCAAACTATTGCTTTAAAATCCCTCAATGGTTGCTCTTGCCCTTTGGATCTGGCTGGCCCAAACCCCTCTGAGTGGCATTCCAGCATTACCTTGCCCTCTGCCTGCCTCTTCAGCCTCCTTTACTCCTTCTCTGCTCCACCCACAGCTCCCATGATCAAGTACTGATCAGTTTCTCCTCTCACCTGATTCAGCCTTCCAGTCTGCCATGTCAAAGCAGAAGAGCATCTAATTGGGCATCTTTTACATAATGTAACTGATTACTTGATATATTAATATTTTAGAGCTAGGAGTCATGGTACATACCTTTAATCCCAGTACTTTGGAAGCAGAGGCAGATGGATCTCTGTGAGTTTCAGGTCAGCCTGGTCTACATAAGTGAGACCCTGTCTCAAAAACCAAAACAATAATATTGTAGTGTAAATGTGTCTGTTCATGTATTTCTTAGAAGTATGTCATTTTGATGCTGGGTGTGGTGGTGCATACCTTTAATCCCAGCACTTGGGAGGCAGAGGCAGGTGGATCTCTGTGAGTTCAAGGCCAGCCTGGTCTACATAGTGAGTTCCAGGACAGCTGGAGCTACAGGGAGACCCTGTCTCAAAAAAGACCGAAAAAAAAAAAAAAAAGTATGCCATTTTGGTTAATGGTAGATAATTGAATGAGATAACCACTAGAAATCCCGCCCACCTTCATTCTTCTAGGTTAAGAAGCTCCGACTATTTCCTGTCATCTTTTGTGTGTATGTGTTTGTGTGTATAGGCCAGAGGTCAATGCCAGATAAATTCCTTAATTATTCGGTAGTTGTTTTAAACAAAGTCACTGAACCCAGAGCTCACCAATTCAGTCAAACTGGCTGACCACTGCACTCCAGGAATCCTCCTGTCTCTGCCCTCCCAGGTCTGGGACTACAGGCACACACCTCCATGCCTGGCATTTTCACATGAGTTCTGTAGGAATCAAACTCAGGTCCTCCTGCTTGCATTACAAGCACTTTACTGACGGAGCCATCTTTCCAGCCCCTAGTTCCTGTCATCTTAAAAGACAATCATATCAGGTGTCACAGGACATACCTGTAATACCAAAACGCAGGAGACTGAGGCAAGAGGATGGTGAGTTCCAGGCTAGCCTAAATATAGTGAGACACAGTGTGAAAAAAAAAAAAAAGACGGGCATCATGGCACATGTCTTTAATCCCAGCACTCGGGACGCAGAGGCAGGCGGATCTTTGTGAGTTCAACGCCAGCCTGCTCTACATCCTCTTGGTTATTAAGGTCTTCAAGGTAACACCCTTAAAATGCCAGACCAAAGCTACAGGTGTCCCTTTGAGGTAGGGCTGGATTATGACAGTACATCCACCAAGGGGGGCCTAGCCCAATAAGACTGACATCATAGAAGAACTAAAGAGCGGGCAGATGCTCTGAAGGCAACTGGAATCCAAGAGAAACTGAACTCCTTGGTAGGGGTTCAGTCGTGTTTACTGGTGTCGTTTCTTCCACATAGCAAAGTCTCCTAACTGTTCACTGAAAGCAGACTCAATGGATTTCAATATCATTGTAAAGTAATATGAGCTTGTATTTTCCAGATGACGGAGGAAAATGCTGAAATGCATCTATTTCTTGGAACAGTGGCTAGTGTGACTGAAACTGTCTTCTTACCTGCAGTAATGCATTAAAAACCCTAGACCATGCTAGCCACAGTGGCACATGCTGCTGGGGAAGTTGAGGCAAGAGGATCACTTAAGCCTATGAATTGAAGACTAGCCTAGGCCAAATAGTAAGAGAGGGAGGGAAGGAAGGAAGGAAGGAGGGAGGGAGGGAAGGAAGGAAGGAAGGAAGGAAGGAAGGAAGGAAGGAAGGAAGGAAGGAAGGAAGGAAGGGGAGAAGGAGGAAGGAAGAGAGGGAGGGAGGAAGGAAAGCAGAGAGAATTTTTCCTTTCGGTTAGCTTGTTTTTGTTTTGAGAGGGTGTTTTTGTTTTGTTTTGGGTTTTGGCTCATGCCCAGGCTGGCTTGGCACTCACTTCATAGCCCAGGCTGGCCTCAATGATCCTCCTGCCTTAGCCTCCTGCATGCTAAGATTACAGGCATGAGCCACCACACCCTGCTTAGAATTTTTCAGTGATTGTTTTTGGTATCAAACCCTCAGTGGCTATTCCTTTTTTTTATAACTTGTTTTTATGGGTTTAAAAAGCCAACCCACTGATTTGGTTTTAACCTTATTGAAAAGAAATCTACAAATAGATATCAAAACATGTTATACGCTATAATTCCATTTCTAGGACTCTTAAGTCTAAGGAAGTAATCAGAGGTATGCACAAAGATATATGCAAGGGTATTCATCCCAACACTATAAGAGCAGCAAGTTGAAAGCATTGAAATGTACAAAAGGAGATTGGTTTAAAAATAATCGGTATAGTCATATGATAAACTATTACACAACCACGGAAAATCGTGTTCCCGAAGACTGTATTTTTTTTTCTTCAGATGTTTTTATATTTTAAAAACATGAAAATTCCCCTCTCCCCCCCTCCCTTTCTCACTAGGGGAAAGAGCCGTCATGAATTTGCCATGCATACTTTTCTGTACAGCTTTTCATGTTTCATGTATTTAGTGACAAGAAAAGGAATGCATTTGTAATATAAATACATAATTTTTTTAAAAAAGGAAACCAAAATGTGTGTGAGGGATAGTCCAAACCCTATCATTAAATAAATATATTTCTCTATCCATGCATTCAAAATGATATTTACTAAGAATGGTAGACGCTCAGCACTGTGCCTGAGCTTGCAACCTAAGAGAGGAGAAAAAATAACCCACAAGGACATCAGGAAGGCACATTGTCTGTGTCTTTTGTAAATAATATACCAAGGCCTAAGAGAGATGATGCACAGAGATGGATCAGTAGTTAAGAGCACTTGCTGCTCTTCCAGAGGACCTAAATTCAATTCCCAGAATACAAATCAGGCAGCTCATAACTACCTGAAACTCCAGCTCCAAGGTACCCAGCACCCTCTCCTGTCCTTTGCTGGCACCCAGACACACACAGAAGACATACAGAATGCACATATGCATAAATTTTAAAAAAATCAATTTTGAAAAACTAATATACTAGCCAGGCATGGTAGCGACCACCTTTAATCCCAGTACTCAGGAGACAGAGGCAGGCAGATCTCTGTGAGTTCCAGGCCAGCTGGGGCTACAGGGAAACATGTCTCAAAAAGACAAAAAAATAAAGTAATATACAAAGGGTAAAAAGAATATTATTCATCACTGAGAGTAAGTTTATTTATTTTTATTTTATATATGTATATGAGTGTTTTGCATGTGTATGTGTACTATGTGTATGCCTGGTGCTCACAGAGGCCAGAAGAGGGCATCAGATTCTCTGGAACTGGAATTAGAGACAGTTGTGAGCTGCCATGTGGATGCTGGGAACAAACCTGGTTCTTCTGCAATAGTAGCTAGAGCTCTTAACTACTGAGCCACCTCTTCAGCTCCAGAGTGACATTTTAATGCTGAGGACATCCATCAAATTGATCTTCTAGTTTTACTGAAAATGTTAAAATTTTTTCTTTCTTTAGCCTCTTTCCCACTAGATACAAATTAGGACAACAGACATTGTTGGGATCTTTGGAGACAGACTCTGAGATGGGAGTCAACATAGAGGAAGAGGATCCAAGAGATGGAGAGAGTGAACCTGGTCTTGATTAGCTCATGTGAGACCCTGTATTGAGCCATTCTGAAAACCAGCACTCAGTGTGGGTCAGGTTTTCAGTCACTTGCCCACAGCATCCTGACTACCTCATGCAGGAAGCCAACTCTACCTGCTAGACATTGCCATCAGCATCAGTCACTGGTCCCAGGTAAATCATGACTGAGGAAGTGAAGCATTGGCTCCAGGCCAGACAAAGTTGGTAAATTTATCCTGTAAAAGGCCAGGTAATAAATACTTTATTATGGGTGCCATAAACATCTCCATTGTAACTATTCAATGCAAAAATGTGGGCTGGTGAGATGACTCAGTGGGTAAAAAAAACGCTTGCCATGCAAATTTGATAATCTGGGTTCAATCCCTGGAACCCATGTAAAAAAGCCAAATGTGGTGGTGTGGCTTTGGGGGTTTTTTTTGTTTTTGTTTTTGTTTTTTGTTTTTTGTTTGGTCTTTTTGAGACAGGGTCTCCCTGTAGCCCCAGCTAACCTGGAACTCACTATGTAGACCAGGCTAGACTTGAACTCACAGAGATCCACCTGCCTCTGCCTCCGGAGTGCTGGCAGCCCACAGTGGTGTGCATTTGTAATCCTAGCACTCCTGCAGCAAGATGGGAAGCAGGGACAGGAGAATCATCCAGCCGTTTACAGGGTTTCCTGTAGCCCCAGCTGGCCTGGAACTTGCTATGTAGAGCATAATGGCCTCAGTCTCACAGAGATCTGCCTGCCTCTGTCTCCCATGTGCTGTGATTAAAGGTGTGCACAACCACACCTAGTTCCTAAATTTTTTTGACAGAGTCTCACTTTGTAACCCTGACTGGCCTGGAACTTACTATGTAGTCCAGGCTGGCCTCAAATTCACAGAGATCTGCCTGACTTTGCCTCCCAAGTACTGGGATTAAAGGTATGTGCCACCATGTCAGGTTAAAAAATTACAAACATTTTTAAGTGCAAAAGTAGCAGTATAAATGAATATTGTTGTAGGCTAATGACACTTTTTAAAAAAATAGTTCTAGACATTGAATCTAGGTACATCACAGCCCACTAATAAAGCTTTATTTACACAAGCAAGAAATGGACTAGATTTGGCTCTCTGGGTATCAATGTCAGCCTCTGCACCAGGACTAGAATCATGAGAAAAAGGAAAGTGCCAAACCTGAGAGAGTCGATAAGATTGTTAATCTTTTTTTTTTTTTCTAAGACCTGTGAAGTCTGAAACCACTTTATAGTTGAAGGAAAGAATTCAATATAATTATAAGAAGAGCTAATATTTACCGAGGGCTTACTATGCTTACTATGTGCTAGATGCTATATTAAGGGTTAGATCATTTAGGGCTAGGAATGTAGCCCAGGGAGTAAAGAGCTAACCTGGCATGCACCTGGCTTCCATCCCCAGCACCACATAAACCTGGCATGCTAAAAGGAAATATGCTGACATAAGGTTGCTTCTGGTTAAGATTTCTTCATATCTAAGAAGACAGAAGTCACTCTGCACCTCTGTAATCCTAGCACTTAGGATGTGGAAGCAGGAGTATCAGAAGTTCAAGGTCATTCTCCACTATATAGCAAATTCCAGTCAGCCTGGAATACAGAAGAGCCTGGAAAGAAAGGGAGGGGAGGGGAAGGAAGGGAAGGGGAGGAAAGGAAAATAGAAAGGAGCCTTCATTAGTGAGGAACAGAAAACCTGCATTAGGTTTAAGCAATAAAGAAAATGTATCATTTTAGACAGGGTTTTTCTGTGGTTGGCATTTAGGTGGTTTAGTAGCTCATTCAAGCACCCAGGTTCTTTCTGTCTCATACCTCTGCATCCCTTTGGGGCTTTGGCTTTGCCCTCAATTAGCTCTCTATGACCACAGGAGAGGTCTAATGCCAAGCCTCAAATCCAGGCCAACGGGCCTCTGAAGAAACAGCATTCCATCTCTGCTGCTTCATTCTTTTTTATTTATTTTTTTTTATTCTGTTTTATTTTGAGACAGGGTCTCATGTAGCCCAGGCCACTCAAACTCACCGTATGGCCTTGAAATCCTGATCCTTCTGCCTCTGCCTCCTAAGTGCCTGGTTTATGTGGTGCTAGAGATGGAACCCCGGGCTTCATATGTATTCGGCAAGTACTCTATGAATGAAGCTATATCCTCAGCCCCTTATTTTTTTGCTTTCAGACTGGGTTTCAGTATGTCTCACTGATCTGGAACTTTTGATCCTCCTGCCTCAACCTCCTGAGTGCTGGGATTACAGATGTGCACCCCCAGAGTTGATTTCTTCTGTCTTCTTAGATATGAAGAAATCTTAACCAGAAGCAACCTTATGCCATCATGTTTCCTTTCATCAGAATTTTGTATGTTCTTTCTTAAACTAAGCACTAGAAAAGGAAATGGAGGGGCTGGAACAGTATCTTCTCCATTAGTAGAGTTTTTGTCTAGCATCCATGAGACCATAGATTTGATTCCCAGCTCCTCATTAACTGATCTTGATGGTTGGCATATGCCTGTAACCCCAGCACCTGGAGGTAGAAGCAGGAGACTCAGAAGACTTAGAAGTTCAAGGTCATCCTCAAGACTAGGCCTGTCTCCAAGTAAATAAATCTTTTTAGGCCAGGAGACAGGGATTGGGTGGAATTTCTAAGGTTAATTGACATGTAGAAGATGTGTAATTATCTCAGTGAAATCTAGAGTCTATTAGGAAGTATGGGGACCAAAAATGAATATAGGATAAGTTATTTCCAAGTGATATTAGTGCCCATGCTTTACAGGTGAGAAAATGAAATCCAGAGTGGGGGAATGATTTGCCCAAAGTCACCAAACTAGCATATGGAAGAGTCTGGATACAGGCCCAGTTCTGTGACTACAGTGCCCAAGGCCTCATCCTCTACATTAACATGTTGTCTATGGTGGGGAAGCCAAGAATGTTAGAGGAGAGCAGAATAACTCCACACTTGCCTTGACATCAAGTAAAACCAAGCCACTTACATGTGACCAGATCTTCCTAGCAGGGCATACCACTTAGCTTTTTTTTATACTAAGCAACCTCATAATTCAGTGAGTAACATCACAATTTATTTATCTCACAATTAGATGGGTCAGCAACTTGGGCTGAGCTTCTGATCAGGGCAGAACCCACTCAAATCTCTTTGTCCAGCTAGAAGGTCAACAGGGGACTGTCTAGACTAAGAGGGTCCCAGTTGGAATGATTTGCCATTTATTCTACAAGGTCCCTTATCCCCAACAGGCTAGCCTAGGCTTATTCACATGGAGGCTGGGCAGGGTGCCAAGAATAAAGAAAAAATATATGTGGCTGGTTGAGACCTAGTGAGGGTCTAGAAAGAATGACTCTTTGAACAAGAACTAAGCTGAATAAAGATTCTCTTCTCCATCTGCAGAAAGTCTAACACTTCTGTGCAACAGTAAATACCCCTTTCCCTTGGGGACAGGCAGTGGATAAAGCACTGTTGCATTAACACAAAGACCAGAGTTCAGATCCCCAGCAACCACCTAAAAAGTCTGGCAGCCCATCTGTAATCCCAGAATTTGGGAAGTGGAGACAGAATCCCTGGAGCAAGCTGGCTAGCCAGACTAGCCAACTCAGTGAGCTCCAGGTTCAGAAAGAGACCCCTCAACAAATAAACCAGAGAGCCATCAGGGAAGACATCTGGTACCAGCCTCTGCATGCATGTACAACACACATACATGCACAAACACACAAACACTCATACATGTATGCACATACCACACATACCCCTACAACCTGGGAAAAAAACATTGAAGTTCAATAGACTGACCTAATTCCTGGTCAACATCATCTAGCCTCCTTGAGGACAGGTAGACTTAGAGCTGACAGATAAGGTCAAGAAAGTGAGCATGGATTCAGTACAGAGAGTTGCAAAAACAGCACCATGGTCAACAGATTGGGGATGGGGCAAGGCCACCAGAGAAGAGCATCTAAACACCAAGTATTTAAACCCAAAGACAAAATTCTACCCACTCTATTTGTGTCCTGCCTCAAAGCACATTCCATATGGCAATCAACCAGGGCCATACTTTCTACTATTCTGGCAAAATAAACATCAAGTACACATTCATTCAATAAATATTTATTCTGCCAAACCCCATAAGCTTCAAATGAATGGAATTTTCTCTTAATTATCAAGTTAACGTCTGTTAAAATATCTTTCAGAGGGGTCTGGGAATATGTATAGCTCAGTTGTCAGAATATTGGCCTAGTATGCAGGAAGACTTGGGTTTGATTCCCCAGCACTGCATAAACTGAGTGCAGTGGCTAATTCATATATTCCAAGCACTTGAGTGGTGGTGTCAGAAGGGTCAGAAGTTCAAGGACATCCTGGGCTACATAGCAAGTTGGAGGTTGGCCTGGACTTCATGAAACCCTGGCTAAAAAAAAATCTTTCAGAATGACTTACAATATCTTTATAGATCCCAAGGGGGTGTCCCTTTGATATCAAAATTCTTTACTTACACAATTATTAAAACGTGAGCTCTGGGGCTGGAAGCGATTAAGAGCACTGACTGCTCAATTCCCAGCACCCACATGGCGGCTATGAATGGTCCTTAACTCCAGTTCCAGGGGAATCCGAAGCCCTCTTCTGACCTCTGAGGCATTGCACAACACGGGTGCACTCACATACATGCAGGCAATACATTCATACACATAAAATAAAAATAATAAATTTTTTTTGTCTTTTTGAGACAGGGTCTCCCTGTCTCAGAGGCAAAAATAAATAAGTAAATAAATAAATATAAATAAATAAATTTTTTTTAAAAACATGAGATCTATAGAGTGAGGATGTGGCTCAGTTGTTAGAATGCTTGCCTAGCACACATGAAGCCCCGAGTTTGATCTGCAGCACCACATAAATTAGGTATGGTGAGGCACATCTTCAATCCCATCCCTCTGGAGGTGGAGGCAGGAAGATCAGAAGCTCAAGGTCATCTTCAGCTACATAGTAAGCTTAAAGCCAGCCTGAGCTGTATAAGAACCTGTCTCAAAATATATAAAGACTGGGGCTGGAGAGATGGCTTAGAAGTTAAAAACACTGACTGCTCTTCCAGAGGACCTCGGTTCGATTTCCAGCACTTACATGGCAGCTAACAACTATCTGCAACTTCAGTTCCAGAGGAATCCAACACCTTCTTCTGACCTCCGTGGCATTGCACAACACGGGTGCACTTAC